TATAAATCAGTGATCTAAGTTCTAATCTTTCATTGCAAGAAATAAATGGGTATTCTTTAAGTCCAGACACAAGGATACAGGTGTGTTGGACACACAGCACATGTGTGGTAGACACAGGGTATAGGTGTGGTAGACACATGGTACAGGTGCAGTGGACACACAGGGTACAGGAATAGCAGATGGTGCTATAGAGATAAATACGAGAAGTAAAAAGAGAAGTGAGGCCCTGGGAAGGAGGGCATTGTTTGCTTGGTCATGTATGTCCACACAGCACTGCTCTGTTTTAACTCTTGAATGTATGCTTTCAGATTTTGAGCATCATCTTTAATGTGAAACAGTTTGAATACTTTATCCTCCAAACAGGACACTTTCTGTTTTACTGGAATGAAACGAAAAGAGCCCCTCCTTCACTCCAAGCCCTTGCATTAGCACGTTACGCCTTCATCTTACTACATTTCTTTTTAGGTCTACAGACTTTTGGATTGCGATTTACTTTATTTGCATTCTGACTTTTTGTATTATAATTTTATCTTTTATAAAAATGTATTATTTAATTTCATTTTTTCAACCAACATCATCATATGATAGCTATCTTATTCCTTGACATTTATTCTTTTTTTATAATTTGGCTTCCTGAATTTCTTTTTTTTAAAATATTTTTATTTATTATTTTTATTTTACGTGTATGCGTGTATTGCCGGCATGTAGATAAGCGGACTCATGTCGTGCAATGCCTGCGGAGGACAAAAGAAGAGACTGTCGGATCCCCTGGAACTGGAGTTACAGACAGTTGTTAGCTGCCATGTGGGTGCTGGGATTCAAACCTGGGTCTTCTACAAGAACAGTCAGCGTTCTTAACCGCTGCGCTATCTCTCCAGCCCCAACATTTATTCTTTAACATCATTTAACACAACTTTGTAACTCCACAGAGAGTATTAGAGAGATGTACAATTTCAACTTGAGAACTGCAAACTAACAAAGCTTGCTTAAACAAGCTGGGTGGTATTTGTCCTACCCCACAGACCACCGCCCTGCCCCCTGCCAAAAAAATTAAAATTTCTAATTCTAGAAGCCAATGTTTTATTTTAGTTGGAAAGCAATGAGGCATGTAACATCTAAAGAGACACCCTGGATTGTTTTCATTAAAAAGGATTCTACTTTAAGGTTTCAGTACAAACAATTTTTTTTTTAATTTTTAAAAATGATTTATTTAATAACAACATACTTAGAAGAAGCATATCATTACAACACAATTGACATATTCAATAACGTTTTCCTGAGGTAGGATGCATCTCTTTCAAATTTGGCTGTAAATTTTTAGGTTTACAGTTGAATTATTACAGTTATACAATATTGTACTCAGTATAAACCCTATAAGACATAAATTAAATGATGTTTTAACCTTTAAAAAGATCTCCATTTCATTATTAAAATACACAGTTTCATATAGAAAAATTCTTTTTCAATGCAATTGACATTGGATGTTTACACATGCATTTCTAATCTCTAAATATCTGATTATTACTAGTCACAGTTGGTTACTTTCTGAGCTTCTAGGCATCTGAGCATGGATATAAAGTCATCAGGTAGATTTCAATGGTAATGTTTTTCACGTCTACTAATTATTGTTTTTTAATTTTTAATGAGGTTAGTCTTGTGAAAATGAGAGTATAGCATGCACATGACTTTCTCTTCCCTTTCTTTAATCATCTCCACTGTACCTTAAAAGTCAGAGTTAAAATTGTGTAAGTGCCAGTAGTTGTTGGGAAATTAAGGAGAATTAAAATTCAGAGGGAAAAGAGGGAAGAAAGCCTAATGCCAAAATTCCATCACTGTATTTTGTCGTCATATCAACTCTTTGAGGGAAGTACGGCTCTTATTATCTTCCATACTAAGGCAACTACAGTCCCAGGACAGTTAAACTAACTACTGAAGTCCCCCAGCTTGCAAGTACATCATGGATGGATGATCTCAGGAAGTCTGACTTGGAGTCTGTTTTCTTAATTAATACATTAGGGCACAGACATACTTGGAGAACAAGATGATATTTCACCCAGTAGCATTTATGATGACATAGATAATAAAAATCACAAAATATCTACTGATGGAGAGAAAGAATAAATTGGTTTTTACCCGTATTCTAATAGTTCAGAGTCAGAGGGGACTGAGTGTATATCAGACTTCACCACTATGTTACTTTATTATTTATTTATTTTTTCATTTTATGTGTATGAGTGTATTTCCTGCACGCACATAAGTGCACCGGCAGAGGTCATAAGAGGGTGTAAGATTCCCTGCAACTGGAGTTATTAACAGTTATTAGTCACATGTGAGTTCTGGAAACCAAACTTGGGTCCTCTATAAGAACAGTCAGTACCCTTAACCACTGAGCCATCTCTCCAGCCTCTGTTGGAATTTTTTTTTAAATAGTTAAGTCTTCATTTGTAAC